CCCCAAAACCCCAAAACCCCAAAACCCCAAAACCCCAAAACCCCAAAACCCCATTCCTTGACGATTTAACTGAAAGAAATTTTGTCGAAAAGTTATATAATTAAATTACAAATATGTCCTTCCAGTCATACTCATACGTTTTCAAGTACATTATTGTAGGTGACTCTGCAGTGGGCAAGAGCTGCCTTCTTCTGCAATTTACTGATAAGAGGTTTAAAAGCACCCATGACCTCACCATTGGAGTAGAATTTGGCTCCAGAACTGTCGAAATTAATGATAAAGCAATTAAATTACAAATTTGGGACACAGCCGGCCAAGAGTCATTCAGATCTATTACAAGAAGTTATTACAGGGGATCCATCGGCGCACTCCTGGTTTACGATATCACTAAGAGACAATCTTTCGAGAACTTGCAGAAGTGGATGGAAGAAATGAAAGAGAACGCGTACTCCAAAATGACAACTATCCTCATAGGCAACAAAGTGGACCTCGAAACTGAGAGACAGGTCTCTTACGAGGAAGGCCAAGCCTTCGCTAAAAAGCATGACCTTGTATTCTACGAGACTTCTGCTAAATCAGCACATAATGTTGAGAAAGCCTTTCTGGCTATCACCCAACAAATTTATTCAAATTTAGAGAATGGTGAATACAACATCCATAAGGAGAGCATTGGGATTAAGCCAGGCAATACTCTTCCATCTCATATTACAAGCAGCCTTAAGGATAAGAAGGTAGAAAAGAAGAAAGGAGATGGGTGTTGTTAATCATAATTCTAACAGATAATTCGTATCCCAAACCAAATTGAATTTAGCCGGTAATCTCCTGGGTTAGGCCAAGTCTGTTTCAATAAAACCCCTTCAGTCTTGTTATATTTAGAGAAGCAATCCCCCTTTTGGAGTCCTTAGTGGTTTCCCTAGTTTTGTGATGGCAATAGTCTTGGTTTATACAAGTAATTTCTATCAAAACTCAGCTGAGTTTTATAGAAAAGACTAGTGAGAGGTTTAGTTGAGCTTAGATTCGAACTGGCTACCACTAGATCTGCTATGCATAAGGAAAATTATCTATAGACATGTGCTCGCCTAAAATCTCTATTTATCAGATTTTCAGTAGCCAAGAAGAGATGCCTGCTTTTCATAGTTTTCAAATCTCTATTGATACTCCAGGAGTTAAATATTTGATGGATTGTTAGACTATATGAGAAAAAAAAGCTATTTTGGAAAATGTAGGAGGTAGTTAAAAATTATATACTTTTAGATGCCTTCACTAGTAAAGAAGTCTTGCTTAGGTCAAAATATAGAGGAATTGAGGCTTATTTTAAAGAAAGTTCGTTCAAGACTTTAAAATTTATTAGGGGTTTTGGGGTTTTGGGGTTTTGGGGTTTTGGGGTTTTGGGGTTTTGGGG